GTTTGTAGTGATGCCTTTTGGTCTTTGTAATGCGCCGGGTACATTCCAGCACGCTATGAATCAGATCTTCCATGACCATTTAGATAAGTTTGTCGTAGTCTATCTGGACGACATTCTGATCTTTAGTAAGTCTGTCGAGGAGCACGCACAGCATGTTGAGACAGTTCTCTCACTCCTGCGACAGCACAAGTATAAGGTCAACTTAGAGAAGTGCGAGTTTGGTCGCACTAAGATATTATACTCATGAAGAATCCGCGAAGGGAATTAGGCCGGAAGATGCGAAGGTGGCTAGTATTCGAGACTGGCCACGACCTCAAACAGTCACTAAGGTCAGGTCATTCTTAGGAATTTGCGGCTACTACAGAAACTTCGTTAAGAACTATTCTACAGTCGCCTCTCCTTTGACTGATCTAACTCGACTTGACACACCGTGGGACTGGAGTGATGAGTGCGAGGGTGCTTTCAAGAGATTGAAGCATGCACTCATGAATCATGAAGTTCTCATGGTTCCCTATCCGCAGAAGCCATTCATAGTGACCACTGACGCAAGCCAATACGGCATTGGCGCAGTGCTGGCTCAGCAGGATGGGAAAAAGTTGAGACCGATTGAGTACATGAGTAAGAAGATGCCATCGAAGAAGTTGCCTAAGTCCACCTACGAAAGGGAACTCTATGCTCTCTACAAGGCACTTGTCCATTGGAGACACTTCCTTTTGGGAAGGTTCTTCTATCTGAGGACTGATCATCAGATCCTCAAATGGATCAAGACTCAACCGGCTCTTTCTGATGCACTCAAGCGATGGATTGAGGTCATAGACCAATATGACTTCAAGCTTGAGTACCTGAAGGGAGAGTACAACAAGGTTGCAGACGCGCTATCCCGTAGAGCAGACTACCTAGGTGCGCTAGTTTCTGAATTTGGCGTATCTAACGAAGTAACTCAATCATTGGTGGGAGCCTATCAAGAAGATCCTGTCACGATGGACATCATCCACAAACTTCAGGCAAAAGACAAGGCCATAGAAAGTGAGTTTGTGATGGTGGATGGGCAAAAGAAGATCCTGTCAGTTGATAAGGCCGGAGTAAAGAGATTGGTAGTTCCATCTAGTGAACAGTTGCGTAGTTTATTCTTAGGCGAATGTCATGACGCAACTGGGCATTTTGGCTACAAGAAGACGATTGTTAACTTAGTACAGCGATTTTGGTGGCCCATAATAATAGATGACGCAAAGAAGTATGTTGAGACCTGTTAGGTCTGTCAGCGGGACAAGCCGCGAACTCAAGCACCGCTTGGGTTATTGAAGCCTTTACCTATTCCTGATGGTCCAGGATTGAGTGTTTCCATGGATTTCATGGACACTCTTGTGACCAGCAAGAGTGGTAAGAGGCACATTTTYGTCATCAYTRACCGATTCACCAAGTACGCTAGACTAATACCAATGCCAGAGACAGCCWGGACCGAATACGTCATCRAGTTGTTCAAGGACAACTGGGTAAGGGACTTTGGTTTACCAAATACCATCATTAGTGACCGAGACGTCCGATTCACAAGTGAGCTGTGGAAGAAGACTGCAGAACAGATGGGCAGTCAACTTCAGACGACTTCAGGGAATCATCCCGAAGCCAACGGACAGGCCGAACAAATGAATAGAGTTGTACAGCACTTGCTGAGGCATTACATCAAGCCCAGCCAGGATGATTGGGATGAGCAGTTACCTCTCATCGCCAGCCTGTACAACAATGCTATACATAGCAGTACCGGCGTTAGTCCTAACCAGCTGCACTTAGGATGGAAGCCTAGATCAGCATTAGACTTCCTCCTACCTGAAAACCGACCCGCTGCAACTCCAGGCACACTTGAATACGGTGTGCAATATGAGAAGTTGCTGCAAAATGTTGTTGAACATATGAAGAAAGCTCCGCAAGCTATGATTGCTTCTGAGAATCAACATCGCAGACAGTCCACATTTCAGGTAGGGGAACGTGCCTGGGTCAAGGCTAGTGAGTTAGGACAGGAGTTCGGAATATCTCGCAAACTAATGCCTCAGTACTTTGGTCCCTGGGAAGTCTTGGATGTAGTGGGAGATGAGTTGGATGGTCCTACGTACGTCATTCGTGTCCCTGGACACCTACGCACTCACCCAGTCTTTCATGCCTCAAAGCTTGCACCTTTCGCTGAGACTGTTCAATTCCCTTCCACGAGATCGATGCTGCCCCCAACCATGGATGGACAAGTCGACATCGACGATATTGTGGATCACAGGGATATGCCTGTTCCGAAGCCGCTGGGTCGAGGAAGACCTCCTAAACCCAAGAGGGAGTACCGGATCAGATTCAGGCATCATACGGATCCGAAAGAAGATCGGTGGTTTACCCGGGAGGAACTGATGGAAACAGCTCCTCAGGTGGTGGCAGATTGTGAACGGAAGTTAAAAGGGAAGGCACCTGCGAAGTAAGCATCTCAGCGGACTTTCGAAGCTAAGGGGGATGGAATGTGAGGATTGAGCCCTCAAGTAGGGGCCTTGCCATGATGTACATGTTCTGGGCTAAGGCCCCAACAAGCCTCGTGCCCGCCCTAAGTGAAGGCGGGCCAACAAATCAACAAGAGCCCTCTGTGCCAACATTTCACGAAGTGGGGTTCATACAGTTGCAGCACGCCAGTTGGTTGGTGTGCACCGAGTCTTGGATTTCAGCAAATGCTGAAATGCCCAGGGCCTCTGAGTTAGTTAGGCCCTGGGCACTCGAACGTGAGGCCGACAATGCATGCTGGGTAGAGAGGCCGAAAATGCCAAAGGGAAATCGGCCCACTATCTGAATCTGGCCACAGGCCTTGATGAGAGGGGCGCAACTGCATTGCCCGGGGCCCAACTGTATCGAGTTGGCTTCAGCCTCTGGGTCCCGGTCACAGGCTGAAGGGAGGCCGCCCACATACTGCATTGGCATAAAGGCAAGCAGGGCGAGGCAGCAGGGATCTTGGCCAATGCTGGCACTTGCGGGCACGCTGCGCGGATGCATGTGTGCTGCGCTGTGCAAGGCAGTGCTGCGCTAAGAGCAAGCAGGCCAGCGCTAGGCGGTAGGGCGCTGGCTGCATACAGGGCGCTTGGTGGCCATAGCCGGGCTGCAGAGGCCGCAGAGGGTAAAGGGCGAAGGTGGTCTTCGGAGGTGAAGGGCGCTGTGTGGGTAACAAGGGAGAGTGTGGGGAAGAGGACACATACCTGGTGATGGTGGAGGTCGGCATTGGTGTTGACATCATCACTCGCTGGTAGTCAAGTTGTCTGGTTGCTTTCATTACTGTAGTTGTATGATAGGCTGTAGAGTAGATAGGGCACCTGGCGCCATTCACAAGAGAGAGCTACATTTGGGTTATGCTGTTGGTGTTGCCCTGTTGGGCATGGACATTGACTCATGATTCTTCTGTATCATTCTCAATTGGATGGTTACTCGTTTCCATTGTACTATCTACTTTGGCTTTGAATACTTGGACTTCAGTGTGATATTGCATTCTGGATTTCTGTGCTTCGTCCATACTCATGCTCCTTGCACATGCAAACAGAACAAACAAACAAACAAAAAAGTTGTTGGTCCAGCCTTTGAGAAAGCACGCACAGGTTAACATGGGCCAGCACAAAGGCAGGGGGCGCCAGGCAAACCACGTGCTGGGAGCAGTAAGGTTTTTTGAGGACTCGGCGACTCACCAAAAATCAGCGTTGGGAAAAAGGGGCTCGCAACAACGGGTGGTTTAAAGTTTAAACCACCAGTACCTCCGAGCCTCTTTTCCCCAAGGCAGATTTCTGCTGCGCGCCAATAAAAGCGAACGGGCACGGGCACATTTTTTGGGCCTGGTGGCACCAGCCATTGTGGTGGTTCAATTATTTCACACTTGATGAGAGGATCAGATAGAGTGAGCAAGGGCCACATTAGGGTCGAAACAGGCAAGAGAACTGAATGGAGTGAGGGGGTTTACGGTCACAGCGAGACAAGTCGGCCTTGGAGGCCTGAATTCACGTACAGCAATTGCCTCTGTCCAGATGCTGTTGCAGGCACACAAGTAGAGTAATCCTTCAGTTGGCAAGCTTGTGATGTGATAGACAAGATCATCACACTCTTCATCCCATGCACTGAGCTCTATGGTGAGCGGTCGATCTGAAATACCAGTGACATCTCGGTCTGCAGCCACCGGAGCGTAATTGTCAACAAGACTCTCCAACTTCACATTATCCAGTCCCCATGTGGTGATCTTGTCGCGAACGGGGACTGGGATTGAAAACTTGAGCTTCAACAGCGATAATGGGTACAGGAATTCGTACCGGACCTGTAAATGTGGCAGTCCGACCAAAAAAATGGGTGCCACGAAGGTGTCCAGGGGTTTGAGAGGACCAGCTGCTTCTCCCAACACCTTCACATCTACTCCAACATCCCTAACTCGAGGCTCCAAACGCCCCTTGTAAATGAAATCGAACTGGAGAGCGATCCTCTTGTTCGCCATCGGCAAAGTTCTCAACTCCACAGTCACTGCATCCTTAGGCTGTAACCCTCCAAGATACTTGTCGCCACGAGGTGTAGTAGCCTGAATGAACATTCCGGTCCATGTGGCATTGCCGGCGCCGGTGCTGTTGCCTGCTCTCTCAACTCTACCATTGCCGGCCAAGTCCTCAAAACCATCGTCATACTCGAGCCTGGGTTTATGGCCAACCCACCCCTTGTAAAAGTCATAAAACATCCCTCCGGGGCTGCAAATAGGAGCAGTGTAGAAGCATTCGCTGCACTGACCAGCATAGAAGATGTCATAAAACCCACAACCAACGCCTTGAAACGCTGCCCTATCGCCTTCCGTAAGAGCATCAGGCATCAAAGGCTGTTGGTCAAAGCGAGAAGCCATCATATGATTCGCCATGAGTTCTTGGAGACTTTCCTGGTCTTGCGCCTCCTGGCTCTGTTGCAGACCCCTTTCATAAGATCCATGAAAGCCGTATGCCGCCGAAGACAGGTGCTCCGCGTACAGCAGCATGTTTCTCAAGGACATCGGAATATCTGCCCTCTCAAACCCTCCTTCTCCCACACCAGGGGAACCAGATATCAAGTCCTTCATAACAGGGGACTGGAAGCTGGAAGAACTGGCCTCCATATCCCCGCCTCCACTCGCCAGAGCCTGCAAGCCGCTCGACCCCAGCAGCCCTGACCCCTGGCCGACGCCAGCTAGCCACCCCCTTTCCGACGTCTCCTCCTTTTCCACTGCCATGCGTGCTTCCGATGGGTCCCCAAGGTACGCAAGCACCTTGGAGCAATCCTGCATCATAATGTAGTGTAGAGAAAGAACAGGTGTTGCAAAAAGAGAGAAGTAAGATCTCAGTGAATAGTACGAAGTACTTGGTGAATAGCACAAAGTAAGAACAGGTGTTGCACAAAGAGAAAAGTAAGAACTCGGTGAATAGCACAAAGTACTCGGCGAATAGCACAAAGTACTCGGTGAGAAGTACCAAGTACTCAGTGAATAGTACAATGTAAAGAGGTACACAAGCACCTTGGATCAATCCTGCATCATAATGTAGTGTAGCGAAAGAACGGGATTTGCACAAACAGGAAAGTAAGTACTCAGTGAATAGTACAAAGTAAGTAGTCAGTGAATAGTACAATGTAAGTACTCAGTGAATAGTACAAAGTAAGTACTCAGTGAATAGTACAATGTAAGTACTCATTAAATAGTACAAAGTAAGAAGTCAGTGAATAGTACAATGTAAGTACTCATTAAACGCCAGTACAAGGCCCCAGCCTTGTGGAAAAATCTTTCATCTCCTACAAAAATTTTGGAGGCTCGGGGCTACCGGACCACCATGGCTAGTGGCGCCAGCCGAAACAGAAAAAAACTAGGTAGCATGGGTTATCTGGCCGGATAATCTGGTCGGATTATTTGGCCGGATGATCGGGGGGTAGGATCATCCGGAAATCCGGATGATAAAAAAAAGACCTAAAAAAAGCAAAAAAAAAAAAAAAAAAAAAAAGTGATATTGCGCATGCAAAATACAATAGAATTACGTTCCTATTTCATGAAAAGTTTGATAGGGCCTAGAAGGGTTCAAAGGGGATAAGATAGGGAATAAATAGCCGCCACACCCGGGTGTACTCGTGGTTTAAATAGCACAAAGTAAGTTCTCAGTGAGTAGTACAAAATAAGTACTCAATGAATAGTCCAGCCTCCGTGGGACCCGCATAGTGTGTGTCTGGGTACTGTGTAAAGGTTTCCCAGCCACTATGCGGCCCCCGGGTGGGGACAGGCATGCAACACCGTGCAGCCCCCCCAGCCCCCCCCCCCCATACCGCGTCTCGGGCAATGGGGGTACGAGGCCATACTGTTTTTTCTGCTCATTCTTCCTTGATGTCCATGCTTGCCGGTGATAAGCAACCGGACTGCTGGCCCCCAGAATAGATGGGTCCCAAGGGTTCAAAAAAAAAAAAAAAAAAGTAAATGAAAAGTGCAAAGTTACAGCTCAGTGAATAGTACATCCTTTGCCATTATGGCATGGCAGTTGGAAACCCAGTAGTGATACATACAAAGTATTACAAACAAACATGAGTGAAAAATCAGATGGATGGGTGTGTTGCAATCGCCATTTGCACGTATTTGATCACCCCTCATAAGAAGAGCCTTGGTGCCCTTTGCAGACTGAAAGGGACTCGAAATTGAAAGAAAATGCATCTCAAAGGTCCTGTGGATTTTGAAGTCATTCTTCCCGAGTCCTTTTTTCTTAAACCGCTTGTTTATTTTTTAACCACTTTCAGAATGCAAGGCTGAATATCTTCATGATATCAGGAAAGAAAGAATCACAAAAAGATTCACAATGCAAGACTTTGTATCCGTCCAGGAGGAGTTTCTCTACTATCACTGTCTATCAGTAGACTGCGGTAATCTGAGGCTATTCTATACCGGAAAGCTTTTGTGCCGGCTTCGTTATCCTCACCGGGTTCAGCATCGTCTTCCCAACCAAAAAGGCTCAGCGAGGTCTGTCGCTTCAGGAGGGTTTCGTCGCTGCTTTTCCACGCAGTGCACGCACAGTATTTCGATTCTATCTGTTGCCCGAGGATACTCCATGCTTCTTGCACGTGCATTGGTTGTTTGTCTATTGTTTCCTGGCATCTTTTTCTCCAGATGGACCATAGTGTTGCCTTGCGTAGGATGTGGAATAAGGTGATTTGCATGGGGGGCCAGTCATCGGGTGCTGTGAATCCCAGTAGAATAAGGGTAGGGTTTGCTGTGAAATTCGTGTTGGTTATTGAGAGCCATATCTGTGAGATCTTGTTCCATATGGGTTGGATCTTGGGGCATTGGAGGAAGCAGTGGAAGAGGTTCTCGATCTGTCCCTCTACGCAATTGGCGCATAGTTCATTTAAGGGATTTCTATCTTCTTTTCTTCTTCTAATGTTCAGCCATTGATTGAGAGGAATTGCTAGGTAAAGGATTAACCATTGTAGGCTTTTGAACTTGGGGGATGTAGGGTTGCTATTTGGTTCCACGGTATTACTTTTAAGTTCTCTGGGTCTACTTTGAGGTGTCTATTCCAGCGGTCTGCTATGACTGTTTCTGGGGCTGTTGATCTTCGTCTAAGTTTATAACCTAGTCTGGTGGTGTAGTTGATCAGGTTAATTCTGCGGTCAATTCTTGTGAACTTTTGTTTTAGGTTCCATGCCCATTCAGCTGGGTCGAATTCTAAATCTTCTATGGTAGTTAGGGGATGGAATATGGTGAGTTCTTCATTTTCTATTACTCTTTTTGAGATTTGTCTTCGTTTACTGTGACCTGCGCTACTGAGTCTTTATTGACTTTGATGTATCTGCTCCGGGTTCTGCTATATTGTGGATGGTGAAGGTGAGCCAGTTGTTTCTACCGTCTTCCTTCCTTATAAAGGTTAGCGCATGTTCATGGGGATTCATGTATGTTATAACCGCCCAATCTCCTGTTGACCACAATTTGTCCTTTTTGAGAGTTGATATCCAATCCAGCGGAATGGCATTTTTGGAGGTTTTGGTTTAAGTTGTGGCACGCTTTGAGTTTTTCTCTGAGTTGTCTGGCCGACTGCCAGTCCTTTTTAGAGTCATCCCAGATATGTTTGATTTGTCAGATACCTCTCTCTACCCAAGTACCCCATCTTGTGTCTTTTGAGGTGAGAGTGAGGGGTGTGCTTTCATTGTTGGCTATCCACGGGTTACAAAACAGAGGTTGTCTGAGGACTTCTTCTTTGTTTATAGGTTTTCTTACTTTCGCCGGAAAGATTTCTCTCCATGCCTTTAATAGCCTCTTCCAGAAGTTCAGTCCTGGTTGGTTTTGGAACTTGTTTTTCATAGTCCAAGATTTGCTTAGGATCCATAACGTACCCTCCATGTTTTCTGGTGTATCGTAGATCGGAATCTGTTGCAACCCTTCTAGTGCCAAAGCTCTCCACGGTAATTTAGGACTCATTAGTAGCTTTATGATTCCACTTGGATTGGAGGGTTTTTATTTGGTTAGTTGGCTTAAGGACGCCTAGGCCTCCTTGGCTCTTCTTTCTTGTTACATATTGCCCCGCCACCTTCGTGATAAAGCTCTGTCCTGAGGCATCTCCTGTCCAGAGGTAAGTCGTTGCTTTCTTTTGTAAGTCCTTTAAAGCTTTTTGGTTTGCCACGTACCACGTACCACGTCATCGAATAGATGGATGCATTCAGCACTAATGCCCTGTCGTGCACGTGCAAAGACGTGTGTATCTTCCCCCAGTCATTGGGTTTGCTGGTCATTTTGGCTAACGAGCTTGGTGCCATTTCTGTTGTTGCCCCCTGAATAGACATCTGTATTCCTAGGACTCTTAGTGGGTCGCTAGGGTTTGCCCATGTCAGACCTTCTGCTGTATCTCGGGGTGGGTCAAGGCCCTCCTCTGTTAGCCACCAGCCTACTGTTTTGCTCCAATTGATGTGCATTTCAGAGGCTAGCTGAAATGCGCACATAGCTCTGGTGAGAGCTTCAAAAGATGAGGATGACGCTCTTATAGTACAGTTAGGTTGTCGGCAAACAAAATTGTGGGAGGAATATGGTACTTGTGTGGGTTTTGTTCATTTTGCTTAGTGAGTCTGTGAATAGACGGGTCTTTCCTTAAAAATGAGGCGATGACTTCCATGATAAAGAGCCAGAGGGTCTCCTTGTCTGACTGATCGGGGCATTTTATATTTGTTAGATGTGACCGTTGACTTGTACTGCTCCCATCGCATCATTGTAGAGGACTCTCACCCATTTTCTAAACTTGGGTCCTACTCCCATTGTTTCCATGCACTTTGTAGAAAGTCCCAGTTAGCCTGATCGTATGTTTTTTTTAAGTAAAAAAAGAGGATCCTTGCATTCATTTGTTTATCTTGGATGAATCTTACTGATTCTGCTAGGAACATGACATTCCTCCGTTTGGAGCTGATTTTCTCTTTCTCTTTGGGAGCATGACAGCCTGTCCCTAGTTGGGTCAAGGGTTGTGTTCCAATCTCCTGCTAGGATTACATGATTTTGATCGTTGCACATTGTTGTTATGTTCTGGATAAAGATTTGTCCTTGGGAAAAATCATTCGGGGCATAAGAATTTCTGAGTTGGAAGGATTTTTCCTTGTAGGTGAACATTGATTCTATCCATCGCTCATTTTCTAAGTCCGTTTTGTTGTGTCCTAGTTGTATTAGTTTGGTTGCTCTTGAGTTGTTGTGCTATAGGATAGTTGTTCCTGCGGATCCAGCTCTTGGCAGGGGCCCAACAAGCTGCTCGTACATATTTTTGTCTTAGAAGCATTTTCCTGATTATTGCCTTGTGTTCCAAGGACTCCGTGAGGTGGGTTTCTTGTAGGCATACCACGTCTGGAGGATTTATGGAGAACCATTTTAAATAGTTGGTCATGTTATCCCATTTGTCTGTGTTGGCCAGGATTGTAGCTAGCCCATTGACGTTCCATGACACCACCGAGAGTTCAGGCTCTTTGCTTTCAGAATGTAGTGCTTGGGCCTGTTTTCTACCTAGGGGAATGTGGGTTGTTGTGATGCCATGGAGTGTCTGGGGGGATCCTGCTCTGCTTATGTGTTGAGGTTGTTTAGTTGTCGGGGAACTCGAACTAGTGAGAATGGCGGATCCTGACCTCTTGCGCCCTATCAGCCAAGACCCGGTCCACGTGATCTTTCCTACCATAGAAGAGGATATAACCTTCGGCTATCGAAGCTGAGATTCCTGCTCTTTCAGGAGGAATCTCGCTTCCCATCAGTCCATAGGGGATAGCCTATAATACCTTTCATGGTCA